AATAAATATTTCATAATATTTATAATAAATGTTTATAATCTGTGCAATCCAAGACCACAAAAATATTTACAAAATATTTAAAATAAATGTTATAAATATTTTGTAAATATTTTATAAATATTGTGTGCTGTCTGGGAATGTATGAAGCGTATCTTTTTATTCTAAAAAGGAAAAGTATAGCAAATATAAATGCATGATAATTGATGCACAATTAAAATTGTAACCAATTCATTAATTAGAAATAGAAATATAAAACATTTTATAATAGATATATTCACGCATTAGTTACCGTGTTTATTTACTCTTGTTTTCCATTTTTCACGTATTAATGTTTAATTAATATCGTAAATCGTATAATAAAACTTATTGTATTTTTTTATATAATCGTTTCACAATTGTAATAAATTTTACTGTATAACTTCACATAGTGAAAAAGTTGGTTCAACAACTCTGACTCCTGTATATATATATATATATATTTTTTTTAATGTATACATTTTTAACATCGCGATTTATTACGGATTCGCACATTTATTTTCAACACCGCGGTTTTATCGTCAGTGCGTAATACGTAATCCGTAACGCATGCGCAGTTTGTTATATTGACGATATAACAGGTTTCGTAACCTCAATGACAAATTTGAAACTTCTACCGACTTCTACGATTAATATTTCGGTCCGCGAAGAAGAACGACGCTCTTTTCTATCATATTCGTTCGTTTCAAACAAAAATGCGTTGAATAAATTTCCTCAATTTTTTAGTTGATTAGTTAAACTGAATAATTATCCGAATTATAATGGATTACTTAAAAAAACCGGTACTTGTGGTAGGAGATATCAACGAAGATATTAATCTGTCATTGCCACCTTCTTCCGGGGAGGATTACATCAAACGAGTGGTGTGAGTTGGCGGTTTTTTTTCTCAGCTATTCATTTTTCATTTTCTTGAATTTTCCAATTTAAAGCACGTGCACAACGTATTCTATTTTCTTGCAGAATAGAAGCTAGACAATGCGCGGATGTAGTGGTGGCCAATTTAGATCCCTCATGTGTGAAGGAGCCTACAAAAGCCTATGTGGAGACTGTAAGTTAATTCCTATAAATCATGCCATAAATCTCGCAATCATGGAATGAATATGACTACAAAAGTTAGCAGGATGCGTTCAAGCACCAGCAAGCCTCAAGCCAACCGTGGAATGGCAACAATATCAGGTTGCAGACTTTTCCAAGTTAAGACTGTATGTCAGCCAGTTGAAAGATGAGATACTAATAGGCAAGCGCAAGTGGAAACCACCTGATATTCACTTGGTATATACAAGTCTTATAAAATACTTATCTAAAACTTGAGGAAATTGTGAGTTATATTGGTTCTTCTTCAATATTGCAGCCAGACATAGATGATCAGAATGCTTGGATCAGATTATGTTTAGGTGGCGAAGAAAAAATTGAACCAACGCTGAATACTCTGTTTTGCTTTAGTCATTCTAATGTAGAACAAGTACTAGAATATCTGGTGCAATTCGTGGAAACTGAAAGAAAAGTTCAATACAAAATAGGCCAGTGGATCTATACGTTACTTGTAATTTTGGAGCAACCATTGCAGCCTGATACTTGTTCCTGCCTGCGCTCATTGGCTCGAGCATGTTCCATCATTCGTGCCGATACTGTAATGTTCATTATTTAATCAAGCTAATTCAGTACCATAACATATTGCAATTAATTATCAACGCTATTTGTGTCGTACTATCTTTGTTTCATGTTTAATGGACGATGAAGATAGAATGACACAAATAGTGTTAATAGTCGCCTCGAACCCAGCCTAAATCCACCAATATCGTTCTGTACCTTAGAAAACGAAAAGAGAAAAGTATCAACAAGTTTAACTTGATTGCTTTTTGATTCATACAATACTCGTTTCTCACAAAAAGAGCAATCGTGTAAAAATTTCAAAATTTAATATCTCGATAAGATGTGAAAGATATGCTTTTTAAGTAAATAAAAAATTTAAATATTTTTTCTTAACGCTAATTATGTCACTTATCTAATATAAAAAAAATTTATTATAAAAATGTAAGATTTATATATAGTTATATATATTTGATCCTAAAGGCATAGAGAAAGAACGATTTAATGTTTCTTTTAGAATAGCAAATGATAATATAATAAAACCAGAACATATTGGTTCTTTAGGTTCTAAAGCATCAATTTGTAAATTTTACAAAGAAAAGTTCAGTTAGAATTTATTTAAAAAAATAATACGGAGGAAAGAAGGGACAAAAAGGAAACGCCGAATTTCTATTAACAAAACATTTTTATTGCATATAACTTCCTGTTTCCTCTACTTATGCTGTTGCTATGTCATTCCCGATATTAGAAAAAGGTTCAGGCGATAATAAAAACTCGCGTTTGTCGGGTTACAAAAGATTGAGAAAATAAGAGACTGAACTTTTCTTCTATGCCTAAACTAACTCGTGGTCTTGTTAATATCTACAAAAGTTCACGTCAGAATTTACTAACGCTATCTTTGCGATCTCGCTATTTCTTTTTTGTTTTTTTTTTTAGAGAGAATTGGATGCGCAGGAGTTGGGAGCGCTGAACTTGTTCATCTGTCTAGTAGCGAGATATTTTCGTCAATTAGACTTGGCAGATCCTTGACAATTTCCTATTGTGCATACAATTATTTATGACGCGACATGATATATGTCTGTGTACATACAGCAATTTTTAATAAACTTCACATAAAATTATCCTTAGATTCCAAACGTAGTAAATAGTACATTAAGTTTCAAGTCTTGCTTAGTCAGTATGATCGCGCTTTAAATTACACAGTACCAATTATTAAAGGGCTCGATATATAATATAAGGCAATGCTTCAATTAAATAAACTCGTATTACAATAATCAATTGGTAAGCGAAAATTGGATAATCTTGAATGATCCTTAAGCTACGTTCTCTTGGTCCTGGAGTAACGCAGTGGCTAGTCTCTCTAGATCATCGTAACTAAGATTATTCACTTTATTTTTCAAGTCCTTTATCAGCTCATTGACTATGGACTCGGTCTCGGATACTGTATAATAATGCCTAAGCACCCGTGAGACCTCTTCTCTCAGCAGATGGATACCGGCTTTCTGTTGGGGCAAAGATCTCGCCTCGCTGGAGCCTTCCTCTGCCTTCTTGATCACCAAAAGATTTAACTTACTGCCATCTTTTATTCCCGGATAAAAACTCAGCGGATTTTCATCTAAAAATATTAAACAAAATATTCGTAACAAGAAATCATTGCGATATACAATGCTAGATGAAGGATGTTTTTCATTTGGTGACACGAGTCGATACAAACGTCGTTCTATCTTTCTTGATATTTCATGAGCAACAAATAAAGAATATCTGTGCCATCAAATGAAAAGCTCCTGAGATCGAGTGTTCTTACCCGCTAAAGTCTTGCCAGTGAGTAATAATCTTTGCTGTGGTACATCAATGCCCAAGAGATCGCTCACTTTGTGTTTTAACTCCAACACTGTCTCTGACGGCAATATCTAAAATCATACGACACGACATAACGATATGAAAGTAATTTCTATGAGAATGTTCTCGAGATGTTTGGAGAGAAAAAAAATTGTTGACGTCAGAAGGATGCTCGTCCGAGAGGCGGACTATAACCTTAATTTTTCGCTTTAACGGATGTTCGAGCGCGTGAATTCATTTAAGGTAACGACAATCGTTAGCCTGGCTTCGTGAATTTTAGTATCGGTCTGCGATGGAATTCAGATCACGAGAGGAAGTCGCGGATGCTTTCGCAAGAAAACGAGGGAGCGGCGCGACAGCCATGCCGTACTCACGTCAACGACGCACTCTTTCCCCTGCAGCTTCTTCACGATCACTTTCATGATGAGCGGTCGACGAGGATCGCGGAGACGGAATTGTTTGACCGTGGGACGCACAAACGCGTGTGGAGCACGCAGCCAGGCGAGATCAGGTTTCTCGAAATAGTGGTGTCTCTGACTGGACCGACAAAAGCTGGCGCATCTTACGCGCCGGAGAGGTTATATTTTGCGTTCGCACGATTCACGACACAGCGTCATCAGCGTCATCGACTGCTCACTCCTCTTATCTTCTCCCTCGGGATTCTCGGGAACAGCGACGCACGGGGATATCGATATACTGATCTGCCTGTCCGAGCGAATATCGATAGTAACAGCGATGCCTCGTAACAATTCCTCCAATCGTCAGGGCATTTCGCGCAATTGTAGGGTTGATGAACGTAGCACGGAACAGAACCAAAAATATTATGTGTTATCCGCTGGAAATGTTCTACGTAGTTCGGGTTTTGTGCAGGTAGCGGCGCTAGTGGAGTTCAATGATGCCATCTAAAATGCAGGCACGTCCCTCTGTTGAAAAGCCATGGTTGTCTGTTAATTAACCTAACCTAATTTGGCCGACCCGGTTACAAAGCTTATAAAGCGAGACGAATTAGAATGGGTGATACGTATCCATATGTTTGAAAATACAATCTCTACACTGAAAAATGTGCACTTTGCGATTGAAGATTGTATAACATTGATTATATAGCCTTTGTCTAATTAAGATCTCGTGTTCCTCGATAATACTCTATTCCGAATTTCTCCAAATGTTCCAAAAATTTAACCTTCAAAATTGTGGCCTGAAAAAATAAATATGTCAAAATGTTTAATTAAAAGGAACGAGATACTCGACCAGCAAAGAGGTTATATAATTTAACGCGAATTACTTGTATGAATTATTTTTTCATGATTTTTCGTTACTTAATATAATAATATTTAAATACGTATTGTTGTTTATAGACAACAAAAATTGACGTATACCATGGGGGAGATAAACGTGTCCTTTCAAATTGACACCGACAATCGCGAGAATTTCTCGTCTGCCATTTCGTTCCATACTTTTAAGAAGCAAAGAGACGCTTTTTACGATATACTTAGAATTTGGGAGGAAAATCATTTGGTGCCAGGATGGGTGTTTCAAATTGCCCTGGGTGGCAAGATAAGAAGCATGTTGGCGATGCACAATGACTGTACTAATTATTATCACATTGCTAGGTTATTTAAATCACAATTGTTAATATCGTGTATACAAAATAGACATCAGGTAAGCTTAAAACTATTAACATGCTTTACTATATCGCTATAAAAAGAATATTCTCAATAACAAAGCAATCGTATTGTTATCAATTGTAGGATGATGTAGTGGATGACGAGAGCTTGAATTTCTTGAAAGCTTTAAAACATGTTAATCCTGAAAAATTGACGCAACTCAGCAAGAGATTTGTGACTCCCTTACCATCGCAGAGTCAGAGTGTTGGTCCTTCGTTTCCTGGCATGCAAGAATTTTTTAAAGATTTTATATTGCATGCATTTAATCCGATATTTTATACACATTTGGAAAATTATTTCGTACATGAAATAATGGAGTTGAACGATACTCAGTTTGCTAATAGTGAAATAGAAGACTCAGGTACAGTTTTCATTATTTTAATGATTTCATGACTGTTTATATTCTATTTAAAATTTTAGGAAAATACTTTTTTTTCTGGATTTTTCATTTTGCAGAAACAATGGTTGACGATCAAACGCAACAGAATTTTATTACTTGTTTAGCCAGCTTGAGGCTTCTTGCGAAAGTATTAGGCCTTTTAGTATCATTGCCGTATAGGTCTGAATCAAATACTACTAAAGAGATTATAATGACACAAATAGAGATAAGAAGTAAGGTACGTGACATAAAAATTCAAATGTTGAAAGCTACTTGTCAAACTCTTTTCAAATAATCTTTTCAATTGTTTTATTATAGGTATTGCCATCATTAAACTTACAAGCTTGTCTTCAGAACGCCATAATCGAGGGTAAACTGTCACTGACGATACCTTGGATAGTTAAATATCTAGCTATGATGGATATTGTGTCGCTTCGGCTGCCATATTATAAGCAGATCTTGGAATTGTTGTATTATATTTATCATGCTATAAATCAGACCGATCTTACTGCCCCTGATTGTCTTATTTCTCAACAATCGGCTATGCTGCTCAAATCCAGCCTATGTTGGTTGTTTGAGCTATCAAACTTTCCCAGAGATTTCTATATTATCTTGCAAAAGACTTGCAAAATCAAGGAACTAAAGAGTCTCAAACAGATGGAAAAATTTTCCGAAAAGAGAAAAAACTCACATTCCGTCGATTGTGTGATTCCTGTTAAAAGTAGTCTCGATAAATTAGATATAATTACTGATCGAACGATGCGTATGTGCTGTTCGCGAATGGAATCGACTTTCTCTGTGTTTCACGGAAACGGGACGAATTTGAATATAAATTCTAATAAGCATATTACACCTGTTACTAGTCAACTACGTAGATTAGGAGGCACTACTCGTGCAAAACACTTGGAGGTAATTTTTTATTCAATATATTTATATCTCTCTAATATTGCTCTATGTTACTTTATATTTAATAAATTTCTGTTATGACAGTTACAATTGGAGGAAGCCTTTTTTCATGGTCAACCAGCTTCTACTCGGAAGACTGTTGATTTTGTTTCCGAAAGAGTAGCATCAACTTGCGTGAAGCATATATGCAACACCTTATTGACTTCATCGCGAGAAACTAACTTAAATTCTTTTAGAAAGATTCTGAAACACAAGCATATCGAAAAGGACTCCGATGAACAGAGTGAACTGTCAAAAAATTACTTCAACGAATTTAAGGTAATATCTTTGCGCGATTATAAAGAAAATTTCATGTTATACGAAAAAAGATTAAGTTTAAATCGTAGTTTGATATTTAGGCTTTACTTGTGAGCGACATGAATATATTGGCCAACAACGCGTCGAGAGAATTGAAAGATCAGTGTGAAAAAACAATCCCAGCAATTTGCGAAACGCGAGTCGCGTCATCGATAGAATCTTTATTAGCAGAAGATTCTTTAACGGCAGTCAAGGAAATGTGCATCAAGATCGCGACTAGAATGGCGATGGAACGAATAAATCAGTGGATTCAGTCGCATATTGCCGGTGATTCCTTATTCATCAAGGATATGGAACTTGAGATTAATAGGTTCTTTCGGAACAATAGTCCTGTGCATTCCAAGCAGGAAAAATATCACAATATTGATGCTCCTAATCCTACTACCATGATGGACGAGCTTCGAGTAAGAATATAATAACATAAACTTGATTTAATAAAGAATTTAATAATAATTTAATAATTAAAATTTGGATACATATACATTGACGCATTAGGTGTATAATTTTTAAAACAAAAACATTATTAATTTCTATCGTTTGTAAAATTAATGACTTTAAGCTAATAATATTTAGACGTATTTCTACTTGTTTTTGTTTATAGGGATTAATATGGCATATGTTGGATAACAATGGTATAGGTTTGACTATTTCGTCTGTATTGGATACTTTAGATAAACTGTACCAATCATTCAATCAAAGAGATGATTTATTACCAGGACCACAGAAAGTTTTGTGTTATCTTAGTATAGATTTTGCGCTATTTTTAGGTATGTTTAATAATACTGAAATCTCAAAAGTGTGATAAAATTATAACTATGATATTTTACATTTTTAGTGGCATATAGAACGGATCTCTTTACACGAGAAGTCCAGGACAAATTGATTAAAGTATGGTTATCGGACAGTTTAAGAAATGAAGAAGATGATTCGCCTATGCATAGAATACTGTGTTCTAGAAATATTATGTTGTTAATGCAACCACAAAACGACGCTTTGTGGCCAATTTTTGGCAAATTTCTAAAAAGGTTATTAGAAACAAAGATACTCGATGGAGATAGTCTGAGCGATCAATGTGTAGCTTTATTCAGACAAGACTGGCCTGTGGTAAGTTTAAATGCGATATAATCTGAATTATTTGAGATAAAATAATGGAACTAAAAAATATTTATGTATTGCTTTCTGTAATTTTAGTATTAAAAAAATAATATAAAATTAAAAAAGATTTTTTTAATGATAAAAAATTAAAGATAAAAAAAATAAGAGAATGTAATATATACATGTAAAATTGGACGAAATATTTTTACAAAGTATTTTTAGTGACTCTTTAGTATCCGAGTTGCTTTAAATTCCTGATGCTGATCGTATATCTATTGTTAACATTGATTTTATAATCCACAGCCTTTGTTAAAACTTTTATCGAAGTGCCTGTCCGAAGCTATTGAGGGTTACAAAGCCAATGACGAAGCGACAGAGAAAGTCAAGTACCTCCTTGGCTGGATAGCTGAAACATATCACGAGATCGAATTTTGTGACGATGATGAACTATAGACTGACGCATAGTTAACGTAGGTATAGTTAACGATACTGCGATAATTGGAAAGTATGTTGAGATGAATTTCTGTAAATATAATTACTATCTTATGTATATATAATATATAAATATATTTGTGTATATTGTTGTATATTATAAATATGAAGCATTTTTGTTTTGTATATGTACACATAACGAAAATGCATACGTATGATTCGTTTCGAATATGTATATGAACAAATATTTTATGAGTAGGAAAATAAATTTTAACTTTTTGTATGTGACGATAATTGAAAAAAAATACACTATATATATTTTATAATCGACGTTCACACTGATAACATTTCTTCACGTTTCCGTATTTCCTATATTTTTATTTGTACGCGTACGCATCAAAATAGCTCATCGAGGTCAGTGCAGGGCACGGTCTTTTCAAGATACCTCGATGACACTCCTTGCTATACGATTGTAACCCTCTTTTGTCCTTCACAAATTAGATTATCCACTTCACTCCGTCCCCGCAACTCCGAATGCCGGACCATTGCTCCATCCCATACAATGAAATCAGATTATCGTACCTTCAAACTCGACAGCACTTGTGTAATGAGATACACGTTACCGAAGTCATGCTCTGCTGTCAAATATACGTAAGTAAATTATTGGAAAGTTATTTAACTTGAATCTTTATTTTTTCCGCGTGTGGATCATATTTTAAAGAAATAAAGTATTAACAACTAATTAATATTAATCTTAAGCGAGGCAATTTGGAGTTTATCTGTCATTTAAGTTGATGAACTCTCGCTGAATGGATCTTTCTCTTGTCTACTAACTTATAAATAAACAAGTTGGTCCACCGCTTTAACGAGGACCGTGTTTCGTCTCAATTAACATGTATTTAACTTTAAGATATGATAATAGCTTTTTAAAAAGTCATGTTTTGACACGCG